AGTTACCCTACTTATAAAACCACTTATAACTACCCATGAACCTCCAAGGAACCTACTACGATCTATGATATAAATCCCGCCTTGCCTTAAGGATCCGAAGCTATGGGAATTATGGTATGTTCCGTATTATGGGTAATGCAGGATTCATGTCATCCACCGTATGTAGGCTGTTTTGTGCGTTTCATATAATGGGTTCATTGTTGGCTCCCTCTCCTAAACCTTAAATCGTAAACCCTGAACCCCTAATCACCTAAAGCCCTGAAACCATAAACCCTAAACCCTAGACCCTAGACCCTAAGCCCTAGACCCTAAACCCTAAGCCCTAAACCCTAAACCCAAAGCCCTAAACCCTAAACCCTAAACCCTACATAAACCCGACACAGAGTTATCCAGGGTTTCCCGAAGCTGGGCCCGAGGCCACTTTATGCCTGCATCGGCTACTTCAGCTGCCCGGCGTCATGTCTTTTTGGGGTTTAGGGTCTAGGGTTTTGAGGCTTAGTTGTGGGGTTGAAGGCTTAGTGCGGTGTAGAAAATTGAGGAGTATACTATAGGGGCATTCATGATTAGAATAGGGTTTGGGGGTATATTTTACCATGTTTATAAAAAGGAACCCCGCAAAACCCTCTTCTAATTATTAAGGCCGCATATAGTAGACCGAGACGTTTCAGGCTGTCACACTTGCTGATGAATGAATGGTATCCGTCCGACCTGATACCCCCAGCCTCAAAAGAACTAAACCCTAAACACCCTTAAGCCCCATGTATAACCCTAAGGATCCAAAGGGCCCAGTAAGTAGGTACGTATGTTTCGGGTAGTAGTTCTACAGGTTAGTAGTTGGGAGAGTATATGATTATTGGGCACTTGGACCCTTGACCCAAAACTCCAAAGAGGCCCTAAACCCTAAACCCTGAATCCTAAACCCTAAACTCTAAACCCTAAACCCTAAACCCTACAAGCCCAAAACTCCAAAGAGGCCCTAAACCCTAAACCCTGAATCCTAAACCCTAAACTCTAAACCCTAAACCCTAAACCCTACAAGCCCAAAACTCCAACACAAAAACCCACCTCCTCAACCCGAACCTCCGGCCTTAAAGCCCTACAGCTCCTCGATGAAGCCTTACCACCAAACCTAGGGTTTAGCGTTTCGGGTTCATTGTTTGGGGCTTAGGGTTTAGGGTTTAGGGTTTATAGGGTTTAGGGTTCATTATAAACCTTATCAGAAAGCACTGGCTTCTAGAATCATAACAGAATATAGCAACCTTCGACAACCATAGAGGAAAGCATCAGCCTCTCGGGAAAAGGCCATGCACACTGCATCCATCCAAGAAGGCATGTCAGCAAAGAAGCTGCCGGGAAAAAAGGAGGCACCACGAAGAAGTGCGGAATTACGGGGCCTCCATAATTACCGATACTATTTTTTTTTTTGGGGGGGGGTCCTTATGATATTTATAGCAGAATATATCCCAAAAACCCAATTCTAATCATTCAGGCCCCTACCTCATGCGCTACAAAAACAAAGCCGAAACCCTTAGCAACATAGAACCCTAAACCCTAAACCCTAAACCCTAGGATCGAACCGTGGGGCCGAAACCCTAAACCCTAAACCCCTAAAGTGCAACCTCAAACTTAGGGTTTAGGGTTTAGGGTTTAGGGTTTAGGGTTTAGGGCCTTTAAACCCCGAATATAGGGGCCTGAATAATTAGAATCGGGTTTGGGGGCCCAGTGTACTATAGTTATAATCAGGAACCCCTCCAAAAAAAGGTATTGCTAATTATTTAGGC